TTTGTTTTCTATGTTATCGTGTATTGTATCTACCTCCCTGATTCTCTTTATGGTATGTTCTAGTATCTAGTATAAACTGAACCCCTAAACTATACCGATTATAGTTTACTAGTATGTTTACTTTGAATTGTTACTGAAAAGACTCATTTATCTACTAAGTTATGATTGTACTTTAAAAACGGAGTTTTATAAACTATAAAGTAACCTAACTTAAAAGAGTTTTTGAAATGTTTTGATCACTTATAAAGACATAAGCAATCTTTTGAAAGATGTTTATAACAAACATTTACACAATTATCATTGTGTTCAACTTGTATTCCCCCCTTAAAAGCATTTAAAACAGTTTAAAAGATTGATTATAGGGGTATGAACTCACCTTATGTGGGTGATTCAAACGAATATGCACGTAAAGATGAGAAGTTCCACGAATGAAGTCCCGAGACACAAACGAGTCCTAAATGAAATATATTGACATATATTGGCATGAATATAGTGATTATAAGCAACTAACATGCAAGGAAACACCCTTAGGGAATAGGAAACACTTAGACTAAGTGTTAGAATCACATGTGATTGATCAAAGGGGAGTTTACGGCCACACATAGGTGTTTACGACCATGATGTTTACGGTCTAGGGTGTTTACGGCCAAGGGGTTTACGGCCAAGGGAGTTTACGGCCGTAAACTCCTGGAGATCGCCCTCAAATCATTTGTTCCAGGTGTTTAGGCTAGTGATTCTACTAGGTAGCAAGTGTATGGAAGAAATACTCACCTTTGGGAGGCTTTATGGAGTTCACGGCCACCAAGAACAAGTGTGTGTTCTTGGTGTTCTTGGTGGAAGATGAAGATCTTGAAGATCTACCCAAAAAGACGGTTTTTATGGATGGAATCAAATTAAGAAGAATAATAACAACTAGATAGAAGAAACACTTACGTTTTTGATGATCTAGGATGAAGAACTCGATGATAGTTGAGAGAGAATCAATTTTCTAGACTTGGAAGTGTGAGAAGTGGTGAGATATGAAGGAATATCATGTATATGGGAGGAGTTTACGGCCAGCCAAGAGTTTACGGCCGTAAACTCCTTGTGATGGAGTTTTCGGCTTGATTTCAACCCAATAAACTTAAGCTGACACACCCTACACCCAATCCTTAAGTGTACTAGGCTTAGAACTCATTAGAATGACCCTTAACAAGGCTAGAAGACAATGAAATTAAGTCTGACTTTTGGGTGATTGGCTGGGCTTACAAGATAAAAATTTTCGGGTTGTCACAATTGGGAATGTAAAAAATCTATTCTTTGATTTCACTCACTTTGATTCATTTGAAACCAATTAAGTGATTGTCACCAACATCAAATAACAAAACATTTACGAATTTCATTATTTGACTAACAAGAATGATATGAACCCTAATTTCATTTATCAAGTGAAAAGAGTGCAAATCAAATATATAATGAAAACCAAATCAAAGATTACTAACTAACAAGAATGATAGAAACATAGAGTCTAGTACATATCACAATCTAAACAACAAGTAATTAAGGATCTATGACCAGAAATGATGAGAAAAGTTAGCTACACATGACTAACTTAGAACACAAATTCAACAAGTTTTGATCTTAAAACAAACTTACAAAATCAAAGAAAAAGTGTTTCCAAAGTGCTAAATGATGATATGATCTCTCAAAATCACCCCTTCAAAGTCCTTGGTCGAAGTCCCCTAAAAATGACAAGAAATCTCATTTTAATCGGAAGCTGCAAATCTAAGATAACTACCAGATCATGTTACACAACCCATGTAATAACATGCCTTACATTACACGTAACAACCCGTGTAAAAAATTATTCAATTTAACCTGATCAATGACATGACACATTTACAACTGCTACCTTTTCCACGTAACAACAAGAGTACCAAAGCGTGGTTCGTGTTTTAACCCGATCAATGTCCATTTTTTGATTTTCCAAACTATTCAATTTAGCTCCAAAATTTTCGAAACTTTATTGAGATCTCCCTCGAACATCCTAAGCATGCTCCAATCTTCAAATCATCTTGAAACATCCACAAAACTGTGAAAAGTAGATAGATCCTCGATTTGTCCCGAAAATGCAAAATACTTGTAAAATTACACTAAAATACAATGCAATGCTATAAATAAACATGTAATGAATATTGTAAAAAGGTGCAATTTATGCACCTAAAACTTACCCTCTAACTCGACATAAAAATAAACGAGTTGACACACCACGATATATTATTAAACAACAGGTTATAGACAAGCTCTCTCAACACGTTTAATGTTTAAACTCGACATGAACCCAACACAACACAACACGTAATAAAGGTTTATTGTGAAACAAAAAACTAGTAATGAATTTCTATTTCTTTTTCGAGTATCCACGTGAAAGTTTATCGGTACTTTCACTTAGAAGATTGTCAAAACAAGAGATAGAAAAACATTAATTTTTTTATATCTTCCTAGGGATCCTATCTATATCATTCTAGATCCTACTTTTACTAGATCCTTCATATGGGACGTTTTGTTACCAAAAAAAAAAAAAAATAGTTCCCACGCAATATTGGCAATGAATCTTGGCAACAAAATCCACCATGGCCTTTAACTCTAGTTATAGGCGACATTCCGTGAGCCTAAAAGACACCATGTCATATACATGAATGTCTGATTCGTTGGCTCCATTTTTCTTGTTTTTGTCGTAGTATCTTAGGGCACACACACATGGATTTTTTGTCCCTAAAAAAAATTAAGATTAGTTAAAAGTCATAAGAGAATTCGAAAATAGTTTATGATTTTCGAAGAAAGAATAATGTACATCTTTTTGCAAAAAGATTTCGAAGAAGGAACTTCATCAAATTAAAGTTTTGTATAATGATTTTCGAACATGTTTTAAAGGATTTTTTCATAGATTTTCAAAGGGAAATTTTTCGAAGCTATGAACAATATTGTGAAAAGGATATCACCTTAAATAGAGGACTTCGAAAAAGCGATATTTGGAAATCTTCACTTCGAAAATATTACGAAAACGGTAGAGTATAAATTTGAAGATCCATATTTTCGAACATCGCGGTCATTTTCTTATACTTTGGAAAAGAGTGGGTAATATATGAGATGTTTATTTTTGTGGTCATTTACGATATATTTTTTTTTCTTACTTAATCATTAAAGGTTTTTCTTAAAAGACCATAATATTTTATATGACAATTGTAGTTTTTTAGTGTACAAAAATCAATTTAAGTGTCTTTCGGAGGGTATGGATGAAGTAACAACGTAAAAGACGTTGGGACATGCACAAGAAAGGCGGGAATACCGACCCATTTTGTGCGATAACCCTTCCATGCGGCGACTATTTCCCCATCATCTCTTATGTGCACATATATACCTATTTTCAATGTGAATCTTTAAACATTTAAGGTAATCATTTTCAGTTGATATACTTTAGGTGAATAGGGGAATCCATTTTAAGGTGAATAAAATGGATCTATTTTCAAGATGAATCCATATAAATAAATCCATTTTGTATATCATGATACTATTTAAATTTAATGCTCTATATTTTTTAGTTATTTAATTAAAATTGAGTCTGTGAAATGAAGGAAAGAAAATATATAACCATTTGCAGATATAGGAAAAGTTTAGAAAAGGAATAAAAAAAAGAGAAAAAATTAACGTGGAGCTGCTATGACAAATGTGAACCGAGGAAAACATATCATCCATCCTACTAAATTATTGCAAAAGAAAAAAAAAACAACATTCAAAAAGTATTTTTATTGTTAACTTTTTGTTAACTCAAATGTTTCATGGTTAAGTGTTAAAACAAATTATTTTGCTAGTTAAACCGAACAAATTTCAACTGAATTTATTTTTGTTATAGATTCAAAGTTTTGCATAGTGTTTAAAACAAATAAAAGGCTTAATGATAATGAGAAAGATATTCTAGTGATGCTTAAACCACCAAAAAAGTTATTAACCTACACTCGTTTGATGGTTTGAGCGTTTGGGATGGTTTGAGTGTTTGGGACTTTGGGGCGTTGAGCAAAATAATCGTTGGAGCCGAACCGATTTGGAATCAAATACGCAATTTGACTTGGTTTCCGGTTACTCTATATCTATAAATTCGGTTCTCTATTTTTCGGTTCCACATCTAGTTGATCTAGTTCTAGAACTGAGCTCCTCTTAGTTCTATCACTGAGAAGTAACTTTTAGGCATATATAAATTTTATATTTTTTTAGGGAAAATGACTTACGAGCCCAATGAAGTTTTCAAACCGTTCAAAAATCCCCAATCATGTTTTGTCTGTTTAAAAAAACCCAACGAACTTAACATTTTGTCTAAAAAGTCTAACTAAGTTACACTTTCCTGAAAATCAAATAAGAGAAACAGATGACGTGGCTTATTACCGTATCGGGAAAATGACTTGTTAGACCAATTAAGTTTCCAAAACGTTCAAAAAACTCCAGTCATGTTTTGACTGTTCAAAAAAACCCAACGAACTTAAACAAAACAAAATTAGGATTTTTTGAACGGTTTGGAACTTTGTTTGACTTTTTAGACAAAATGTTAAGTTTGTTGGGTTTTTTTGAACAGACAAAACATGATTAAGGTTTTTTGAATGGTTTGAAACTTCGTTGGATTTTTAAGACATTGTCCATATTTTTTATTACCAATTTTCGTAAATAAATAAGAATGGTATTTGGATGAATGTAGGCAATTCGTTATTTCTATCAAACTCAATAAAATGATAAAATCTTATTAATCGAGCTAGAATTACTCGGCTTGATTTGTTCGCCTTCGTATCCTGGATGGCTGCATGCATCAAATTTTACCAAAATAAATTATAATATGAAAACTGCATCGATCTGCATCACTGCAGCATGCATGGAAAAATTCTTATTTATCACAAATTTAACTCCTTAATTAAGCTGATAACATCCATTAAAACACAAAATCCCTATGCTTGCAAAACACGCCGGACATATGCTTACGGCTGCCCATCCATACCTCCTCCACCAACACCACCGCTGCCAATCCCACCTAGACCACCGCCACCAATACCGGCGCCAATCCCCGCACCAATTCCCGCGTTACCCAATCCGGTGTTACCTGTTCCAATTCCACCACCAAGTCCAATGCTCCGGCCAAGCCCACCACCACCAAACCCTTGATCTCCGCCTATACCACCACTGCTACCAGCTACACCTCCACTTCCGAAACCCTGACCACCATTCGACCCACCACCTCCAAACACTCCACCGCCACCAAATCCTTGACCAAGACCCCCGGATCCGCCGCCGGGGCCACCAAGTCCGCCTCCCGGAATTCCAACACCAGGTCCGAAACTGCCACCGATTCCACCGGCGACACCCGTATTCATCCCAGGAATTGCTCCTCCTAGAAGGCCACCACGACCCATGTTGGCTCCAGCTCCGATACCAAAGCTTCCAGATAAAGCATTTTCTTCCACCTCCGTTGCTGGAATCACCGCTAGCTTCCTGGTTGAGACTGCGGAAAGAAGAGCACCGGTGATCAAAAAATAGAGAACTTTAGCTGAAAAAGATGACATTTTTGCACGCAATGTTTTTGGGGAAGAAAAACGATGCTTTTATAGAGGTTTTAATTCGTATTGCATGCATGAACATTAAATGTTGATGCATAAAAGATGTCGTTGTCACAAAATTTAATTAACACTGGTCAACGAACTAAAATTAGTACTCGAATAGATAGTAAAAATATTACATTATTAATTATTGGCATGATTTAAAATCCCAACTACCTTTTGTCTTGGAAATACAAACTTAAATTATGAATTTCAAAGTTTACTAACTTTCACAACGTTGGCTAGTTTCTTGAACTGTTAATGACATCAACACTTGGTGGAAAATACAAAAAAATTCCAACGAGAACAAATCAAATCGTCATAAATACTAAAATTAGTACTCGAAGAGATAGTTTTATTTTCATATTTCATATATTAATAATATATATACTTTCTTTAAAAAAAAATCATTGAAAAACCGTCGACCGTTTTTTACATGATCCCAGAATTAGAAATTTCATAAGCAACAAAACTAAAACATAAATAGATATATGAAATTAAAATTTATTTATTTTGATGAGTTAAAAAGTTTAATAGAAAGAAACGACAAAAGTGAAGTACAAAATCTTTTTGCATGGCAGTCTTCAGTTTGACCTTCCTGCTTCCATGCATCATCAAACAGTGTCTGTGTGTTCATGAGTTTTTGAGGCCAATTAAATGAAACCCAAAACCAGTACTTGTTTTGAAGTTTATACAGTAAATTACAGTTTTAGTCCCTATATTTAGCACAAATTTGTAGCTTTGATCCTAATTTTGAAAATTTGACATGGATGATCATATGGTTGACATAAGTTGCATTTTGGTCCCAACAGAGTATAGCCGTTAGTGTCAGGTATTTTTGTCAAGTACAAGTAAAATGACCATTTACTTCTGTTTTCTCTCTCATGGTAGTTGTAGGGATGGTGAATTCTTTTCAAAAATTTAAAACTATGGCTATAAAACTCCAGATTTGTGCCAATCACAGCAAGATACCGAAACTAAAATTAATTTACTCTATATAATCCTTTGATCTTTGCTAATATATGTATAATCGGTAAAATACTATATAGTATATACTATAAAATTGCGGATGCATAACCTGCACCACATTCATTAAATTTAGAACAAATTACCGAAATCGTCCCTGTGGTTTGAGTAAATTTTGTGTTGGGTCCCTAACGTTTTTTAGCACTCGGACAGTCCTGAACATATTATTTTATTGCATTTTTCGTCCCTTACATAGATAAAAAGACCATATTACACTTTGTATTTTCTTTTTCAGTTTTATTATTATTTATTAATTAAAAAAATCAATTAATATACATGGGTCCCACCATCACTCCTAACCCTACCCGACAATCTTACCTTCTCTCTCATTCTCATTCCCTCGTATCTGATAGAGAAAGTAACTTAGGCCCCCCCCCCCCTCCTCCCCCCCCCCCCCCCCACCACCGAGACACCAAATCGTGGCCACCAATACCACCGAATCATGTCGGAACCACCAGATCGCCAGCGACGGAACCCACTAAAAACCCTTGGACATCCATCTACTTCGTATTTCTTGACTCTTTCTTCTCGTCGCATCTATCTCTCTCGTCAGAACCCACTGAAAACCTTTGGTGTAACATCCCAAATTTCAAGACCAAAAATTTCATTTTTATTTTATTTAAAGAGTCATAAAACAGATTACTGAAAATGCCACCAATGTTATCTCATATCATGAAAACCATAAATCAAACATCACTCAAAACCATCTTATAGGAAAATAATGTCAGAGTACAAATCCCAAGATTCTCATGTGCGGAAAATCGAGTGTGTGATGCGCTGCAGTCATGTCGGCTCCTTTCCCTTCGAAGAAGAGGTACCTGAAACCAAAACTATAAACCGTAAGCACAAAACTTAGTGAGTTCCCCCATCATACCACATACCATACAATACACATACTGCCTACCATATTCGGGTGTTGGCCTACCCCTTCGGTCTCTTTCAACCGGTAACCGCCTAGTATATCAGGGTGCCGGCCTACCCCTTCGGTCTCTTTCAACCGGTAACTGCCTAGCATATCAGGGTGCTGGCCTACCCCTTCAGTCCTTTCGACCGGTATCGGGTACTATTTCACCCCTAGTACTACCATATATCATGCTAATACATAAGCACATAAATCACATACTGCCTAGCATATCAAGGTGCTGGCCTACCCCTTCGGTCCTTTCGACCGGTAACGGGGTCTGTCCTACTCCTCTTACCACTATCACATAATATCATAGCGTAATAGCACATAAAGCATAACAGATAGTGGCATACCAGACAATTATCACAAAGACAATCATCTCTACTATATTTCTTACTAGTGGGCCGGCATTGGTGCCCTTAGACCCACTTCTACTGGAAGGTAACTCACCTCAAATATCGTGAAGTAGCTAAACTGTCCTCGACTCTGGAGTCAACTCCACTCAACTCCTACACATAAAAATCTCCTTTAATTACCCTTTCATACTCATAACCCCCTTGAGGGTCAACTCTGGTCAAAGTCCAAGTCAAAGTCAACCTTTTGGTCAAAGTCAACGTTCTGGTCAAAGTCAACCTTTTGGGTTAACTCAACTCGCCGAGTTGATCCATCAACTCGTCGAGTTCCATAAATCATAAACCCTGAAATCGCAACCAAACTCGTCGAGTTCTTTCATGAACTCGTCGAGTTCCTCCTTATTCATAGGATCGGGACTTCTTCAATCAACTCGTCGAGTTTTGCCCTTTACAGACTCGGGATACTTCGACCCAACTCATCGAGTTCCTCTATGGACTCGACGAGTTCTTCAGTCTGTTAAGCCATCTTAAGGGATTAAGCTCTTTGTAACACCCTGATTCTCAGGTATTGATTAATGGTTATAATTTTCATGATTTCAAGGGCTACTCGACGAGTTGGATGCCCTGAATCGTCGAGTAGAAACGGGTTGGTCCACGTGTTTAAGTGACCTACTCGCCGAGCCCAAGTTAGGACTCGACGAGTAGGAGCTGGAGGATGAAACCCTAATTTCAAGGGTTTTGCACCCTATTTAAGGGATCATTAACCTCCTTTGGCCTCCTTACAGTCCCTTGAGAGCCCAGCAAACCCTAATACGTGTGTGAGTATGCTCCATTTGTGTGTTTTAAGCTTTGGAAGAGGATTCTTGGTAAGAAGAGCTTGGAGAACAAGTGACTAGAAGCAAGGAACGTGTGGGGATCAGAAATCTACCTCAGTTAGCATCAATTGAAGGTATCAAGTCATTATCTTGACCTCATGTCCTTCTAGATCTCATTTGGGTGAAGTTTAGGGCTTTTCTAGCATATTAGGAAGCTTTTCTTGTGCATAAGCTAAGATCTGAAGTTGAAACTTCAGATCTGAACTCTCTTGGGTCTCTAAGTCCATAAAGCTTCCAACTTTTGCAAGTATGAACCTCCCCTTAGGTGTAAAACTCCATTTCAAGCTTGGATTTGGCATTAGGAGTCATTAGAGCCTTGCATGCACGTAAAGTTTGCAACTTTACGTGATAAACATGCCTTGGGAAACTGGATCTGCAATATGGAACCTTAAAACAGCTTAAAAAGCATCTGTATGGATTAAGGACTGAAGGGACTCGGCGAGTTGCATGGTTAACTCGGCGATTCTGATGAAGATTGTCGTGCAATGACTTCTGCATGGGCTCGGCGAGTCAGTGGGGTGACTCGACGAGTCAACTAGGGTTTTCCCGACATTGGACACACATGGACTCAACGAGTTGCAGGGAAACTCGACGATTCAGTGGGGGGATTTCACGACTACTCGAGTTCTGGAAGGACTCGACGAGTCGGAGACTGTACTCGACGAGTCGGGCCAACATGGACTGTTGACTTTGACCGTGACTTTGACTTTGACCAAGGGTTGACTATTTGACTTCTGGGGCATTTTGGAATTTATGAATATGATTCCATGAAAAATATAGGTTGTGGAGTTTGTGGCGATGATCCGAGAGTTTGATTTTACTACTTCGAGTCGACCGTTGCGAGGTGAGTTATCCTCACTATACTCAAGGGTCTAAGGCACCAAGGCCGACCCTTTGGATTGTTATCTGGATATGTTATGCTAGTATGATCTGTTAGATCGGCATCCTAGTAGATAGGATGGGATTATGTGTTATGTGGTATGATCTATTAGATCGGTTTGTTTGTCTATAGACTGTTATGTGATTATCTGTTATATGTGCACATGTTTGGTTGGCGGTTGAGGCTTATCTGCTTTGTGCGAAAGACAATAGACCTGGGCATTCCAACCTGTTGGTTGTGGGCCGTGAGTATTCCATCCTGAGGATGATTGGACTCATAGTATGTGGGCATTCCAACCTGTTGGTTGTGGGCCTGGGGTATTCCAACCCGATGGTTGACTGGACCCATAGTATGTTGTTTATGATTATATGTGTAATGATGTGGGTATGGTATTTTGGGGGAAACTCACTAAGCTTTCGGGCTTACAGTCTCAGTTTATTGTTTCAGGTACATCAGGGGATCGCGGAAAGGTGAAGACGTGATCGTACAACTCCTCATGTTTTGTTACTGTTTCTGGGAAAACTCTGACATAGATTATTTTGAAAACAAATTTGTAATAACTATTGGTTTTAAATGTTTTTGAAAAGTTTTAAATTGGCTTGAATTTTTGGGTGTGACAAGTTGGTATCAGAGCCTTGGTTTGAGTGAATTGGAGGAACATTCGTGTGAATCCAGTCTCAAATCAAGGAAAGATTTTCAAAATGATTTCTAAAATGGTTTTCAAAATAAGTAAAGGAGGATACAGGGTGTACGATCAGCCGGAGCCAGTAAGTAGACCCCAAAATACCACACAATTATTTGATTATGTGATATGTTAGAACAACATGCTAGTGCTAGGCTAGGGATCTTCAGGAATTACATGATAGAATTGCCTGATTTCATGATGCCTAGTAGACTAGGGTTTCCTTTATATGAGATTGACATCATTA